ACCTTCGGCGTGTGGCTTCATGATGCAGGTTTCCCTCATTATATTTTGGTCCATGCCATCTTGGGAATCCAAAGCGCCCATCCGCATTGGAAGGCCTTTCTGACAGAAGCTTGGGACGTAGCGAAACAATGGAAGCTTGCGGAGCCGCCAAAGCTCCGTCCCCCCTTGCCACGCGCGCTGCTGCGCGCCATGGTCGGGCTCTGTCTCGCCTGGGACTGGCCGGTGATGGCGGCCCTGCTGCTCATGGGCTTCACGATGTTCCTCAGGCCTGGCGAACTGCTGGCGTCACGCCGCTGTGACCTGTCGCTTCCATGCGACCGTCTCGAAGTTGAAGGGGATGCTTTTCTTTCGATTCTTGTTCCAAAGACCAGAAGAACGTACCCGACGCAACATGCTCGCTGCTCCGATCGGGGCACGGTGAAGGTATTGAATCAAGTGTTTGGGAGGTTGGCTTCCACCGATCCTCTCGCCCCCTTCGGCGCGAGCGGCTTCCGTACTCGGTGGAATCATCTGCTTTTGGCTCTGGGCGTCCCTCTTGCCAAAGCAGGTCAGGGGCTCAACCTGACGCCCGCTTGTCTGCGGGGCTCTGGCGCAACAGACTTCTATATCGCTACGGAAGACGTCCCCCGCGTCTTCTGGCGAGGGCGCTGGCGTCAAGCTTCCAGTGCCGAGCGCTACCTGCAAGCCGCCGCCGCCTCCACAGTTCTTGCTGCGCTGCCCGAGCACGCACGGGCTCGTATCTTGTTCTTCGCCACCGCCAGCGACCGCCTTGTCGCTTCGTTCCTCCAAGTCGGCCCCGCCGCTTGGCCTGCCCTGCTTGCGGCCGCCCGCCAAAACCTTGTCACTTCGCAAGGTCCTTGAGCACGGGTATGGCTGCCTCGCCGACATCGGCGACCAGACGGACTCCACCGTCTGACGCGCGGCGCCCCGGCTTGAGCGCGCGGGGCGGGCCTGCCCATTTTGGGCCGCCCCGCGCGCGCACGCCGCGGCCGCGCTCGGAGACAGCTCGCTAGCGCGCGAGCGGGAGAATGCTTCTTCTATTCTCTGTGAGCAAGCTCCTGCTGTCTCCGCAGCTTCTCTGCCCCCCTCCCTCCTCTCCCACTCTAAGGCTGACGGGCGCTGCCTCGCCGACATCGGCGACCAGACGGACTCCACCGTCTGACGCGCGGCGCCCCGGCTTGAGCGCGCGGGACGGGCCTGCCCATTTTGGGCCGCCCCGCGCGCGCACGCCGCGGCCGCGCTCGGAGACAGCTCGCTAGCGCGCGAGCGGGAGAATGATGCTGCTGATCATGTTGATGATGATGCTGATGATGCTGATGATGAGGAGGAGGAGCAGGAAGAACATGATGAGGAGGATGATGACGGGGAGGAGGAGGGGGAGGAGGATGAGGAGGATTGGCAGGAGGAGGAGGAGGAGCAGGATGATGATGATGATGATGATGCTGACGCTGCTGATGATGGTGATACTGATGACGGTGATGGTGATGATGATGATGATGATGATTCTGATGATGATGAGTTATATGATCATGCGGCGGTTGATGCTGATGCTGATGCTGCTGCTAATGGTGCTGATGATGCTGATGATGTTGAGCTTGCTCATGCTGATGCGATGCTGCTGCTGATGATGATGCTCATTACGACGATGATGATGATGATGATGCTGATGATGATGATGATGATGATCATGACGGCGATGATGATGAGGATGATGATGCTGGTGATGATGATGCTGATGATGATATTGATGACTATGACGATGATGATGGCTGTGGTGGTGGTGATGATGATGATGATGATGATTCTGATGATGATGGTGATGGTGGTGGTGATGATGATGACGATGATGACGATGGCGATGATGAGAATGATGATGGTGATGATGATGACACCGATGATGATTATGGTGGTGCTGGTGGTGGTGGTGGTGATGATGCTGATGATGATGATGATGACGATGGCGATGATGATGACGATGCTGATGGTGATGCTGACGATGATGACGATGATGATGCTGATGATGCTGCTTCCGATGATGCTGATGATGATGATGATGGTGATGGTGATGGTGATGGTGATGGTGATGGTGATGGTGGTAATGATGATGATGATGATGATGATGATGATGATGCTGATGATGATGTTGATGCTGATGCTGCTGATGATGATGATGACGATGCTGATTATGGTGATGATGCCGATGATGCTGATGATGATGCAAACGATCATGATGCTGATGATGATGCTGCTGATGATTCTGATGATGCTAGTGGTGCTGGTCATGATGCTGGTGATGCTGCTAGTGTTGATGATGCTGATGCTGATGATGCTGATGATACTGATGACGATGATGCTGCTGCTGATGATGATGATGATGATGGTGATGATGGTGATAGTGATGATGATGATGATGCTGATGATGATGATGATGATGATGATGATGATGATGATGATCATGACGATGGCGATGTTGACGATGAGGATTATGATGCTGATGATGCTGATGCTGATGCTGATGCTGATGATTCTGCTACTGCTGCTGGGGATGATGGTGACGATGAGGATGATGATGAGGATGATGATGATGATGCTGATGATGAGGATGATGATGATGCTCATGATGATGATGATGATGCTGGTGATGATGATGATTCTGATGCTGATGCTGATGATGATGATGATGATGATGATGATGATGATAACGATGATGATTATGGTGGTGCTGGTGGTGGTGGTGGTGGTGAGATGAGGAGGAGGGGAGGAGGAGAAGGAAAAGGAGGATGAGGATGAGGATGAGGATGAGGATGATGATCATGCTGATGCTGATGCTGATGCTGATGCTGCTGCTGGTGATGATGATGATGATGATGAGGATGATCATGATTCTCATAATGATGATGAGGATGAGGAGGATCAGGAGGTTGAGGAGGATGATGAGGATGATGAGGGTGATGATGATGATGCTGATGATGATGGTGATGATGATTCTGATGATGATGATGATGATGATGATGATGATGATGATGATGCTGCTGATGACGACGATGATGATGATGATGATGATGATGATGATGGGGATGATGATGATGATGATGATGATGATGATGATGATGATGATGATGATGATGATGATGATGCTGCTGCTGCTGCTGCTGATGATGCTGATGATGATGGTGGTGGTGGTGGTGGTGGTGGTGGTGGTGGTGGTGGTGGTGATGATGATGATGATGATGATGATGATGATGATGATGCGGATTAGGATGGGGATGAGGATGAGGATGAGGATGAGAAGGAGGATAGAGCGGGAGGATAATGACTGGCAGGAGAAGTTTGAGGAGGAGGATTTTTGATAATATTGAGGCGGTGGAACGGAAGAGGAGAACGGGTGATATAAGGAGGAGGAGGAGGAGGAGGAGGAGGAGGAGGAGGAGGAGGAGGTGGAGGTGGAGATGGAGGTGGAGGTGGAGGTGGAGGAGGAGTAGGAGGAGGAGGAGGAGGAGGAGGAATGAATGAATGAATGAATGAGCTCATGGAATCCTGTCAAACGAAGCCACCTCGAATTGCATGACCTGCCAAAAAGTTAGAGCTGACTGCATAACAAAGTTAGGATTCTGAGATGGTTCCCCTCCGAAACCCACCGAGAAGTAGCGCGGTCCTCCGCCGCGCTCTGTACCAGGCAGCACTGGCCCATGGCCCGCACTCAGGCCCGCACGCAGCAGGCTCGGAGAGGCGGGCTCGAGAGGCGTGAGGTGTCAAGCCTCTCTCCTCCTTCCCCGCCCACGACCCCGCCCACTCCCACGACCACGACCCCGTCTCCCTCCCTCAGAAGGCTGCTGCTGGGGCAGAAACATGACAGGTGTGTTTGGGAGAGATTCATGCGCATACGCTGGCACTCGATTCTGTAACGTGCCTAGAGCATCAGGGGCAATCACTCCTCTGCCGATCAGTCCACGAAGCCGATCCGATCGTCCGAGAGCCTCCCTCATTCTGCGTCGCCGATCAGTTTGCTGATCTCGCGCTCTAATGGCCCCTTCGGGGCCGGCCCTGGAAGCTAGCTCGCTCCCTCCAAACTCTGAAGCTCCCCCATTGCCTCCCCCATTGCCTTCCCCAGCGGATGCTCCCACGCGAAGCTCATCAGGAGGGTGCCCTTCTGCGGCTCGTTGTCGGCTTTCTTCTGGAGCTTGAGGCGGAAGGCGCGCCATGTTGGTGACCGATGCTCCTTTCACGTGATTGTTCCACAGGGCGACGAACTTGTGCTTGTTGATCTCTTCTTCCTTCACCTGCTTCTCTTCTCCGATTGCGATGGTCCGATCGGCCCCGTACCAAGCGGCTGCCGCTGCGATCTGGATGTGCGGTGGTCCGCGGGATTTGAAATCGACTGTTTCTCCGTTCTGCTTGAGCTGTCGGAGGCGCTGGCTCTCTTGATCGTAAGCCTTCCCCGTCATGATGAGAGCCGACGCGAGCCCGCCGCCAGCGAGAATGACGTAGCGCACGAATACCGTCGACGAAAGCTCGGCCACCTCGCGGGTCATGCTCATGAGAAGCCGTGCGAAAAGCGTGATGATCTTCATCGGCGCGCCCTTGCCCTTTTGCTTGTGTGTCTTTGGCTTGTCCTTGCTTGCCCCCTTGCCCTTATCGTCCTTGCTGCCTGTGCCCTCCCCATCGCCCTCGGCCTTGCGCTTGATCCCCTTGGACCACGCAGGACGTTCGAGCTCCATCTGACCCTCGCCGCTGCCCATGGCCAGCTGTCGAGACAAAGGGTTCGATCGGCACGGGGACGTGGGAGGTGAGGTGGGTACACAGGTCGTCCAAACTCGAGCCTTCATAATGGCATACAGGGCAGACCAGAGACTTCTGAATGGTAGCCACCGTCTGAAAGGTCGACGGAGAGGACGGGCGAGAGGAGCAGGAGGGAGCGAGCAGGAGCAGGAGCAGGAGCAGGAGCAGGAGCAGGAGCAGGAGCAGGAGCAGGACGAGATTCTTCTGGCTTTTGGGTCCAGGTCACCGAGAAGCTCGGCCTTCACAACATGCGCAACCGCCAGTGGTTCATCCAGGAGAGGGGGGGGCATCCTCCTGGTACCGCTCCTCACCCCCGTCCTCCTTACCCTCTCCCTCCTCCCCTGAAACCATTTCCTATCCTCTTCCTTCTCCTCCCCTCCTCCATTCCTCCGATCCACTTCCTTCTCCTCCTCGCCCCGCTCGTCCTCCCCCATTCCCCCCGTTCCCCTTGCCGTCCTGCTTCTCCTTCTCCCTTCGCCCCCCTCCAACTCTTCTTCCTCATCGTCTACTCTCCTCCACTCCCTCCCTCCTTCCTCCTCGTCTTTCCTCCTGTGTGTGGTGACGCTTCGCGCGCCGCCCAGGAGGCCGTAACATGTGACACCTCTCGTCTCTCTTCTATGATGGGCTCTCGTGGCTGCTGCTGACGTCTCGGGGCTGCCTCGAGCTCCTGTGGGACCCTCTTGGGACCTTCTTGGGACCGTTCTGGGCCGTCTTGGAGCTTTCTTAGGCCGTCTTGGCGCTAGGCCCTTCTCGGCTGTCTTGTGAGCCTCTTGGGTTCACTTCGGCCATCTTGGCACCCTCTTGGGCTGAGCCATCTTGGGGCCCTGTTGGGCTGAGCCATCTTGGGGCCCTCTTGTGCCTGGCCTGGATCGTGTGGCCTGGGGGGCTTGTGGAGACCTGCATTGGGTTCTCCTGGCTTTTTTTTGCCTCTCCGAGGCCCTCTTGGAACCAACACACTCAAGAACTCAAGGATTTACGCATGTTTGCAGTGATTTTGAGGTTCCTTGAGGGCCTGCTGGCCTTGGGAAGTCTCGTGGGCTGGCTCCCTTCGGCTTCTCTTGGGATCATGGAGACTGCTGGGCTTAGTGGGCCCTGGAAACGACAGGGCCGTTTTTTTACCGGTTCCGTTTTGCCGTTTTTTTGCCGGTTCCGACGCCGTTTTTTTTACCGGTTCCGTCGCCGTTTTGACCGGTTCCAGCTCCGGTTCCAATCCTGGAGCCGTTTTTTTGCCGTTTCCGGTCGCCGTTTTTTTGCCGTTTCCATTTTCAAGGGACATGTGTTTGGAAACGGTGAAAAAACGGCCCTGCCGTTTCCGGGGCCCACAAAGCTGCTGGGTGCCTCGTGAGTCTCGAGGCAGTGTTGCGCCACCTTGGCGGCCCCGATGGCCTCACAGGGCCCGTCTTGGAGACCGTGAGGGCCATGGCCGGTCCCGGTGCGGCGCGAGGCCGTCCAGGTGGGACGGGGCGGGGGGAGGCACGCGCCACTGTGTGGCAAGATGGGTATGACTAGGGGACCGCATGCGAACCCTACCCCTACCCCCCACGATTTCTGAGGGGGAGGGTGGGTTCACTTCGCTTGGGAGCTCCCGAACGAAGTGAACCCCACCCTCCCCCTCAGAAATCGTGGGGGGTAGGGGTAGGGTTTGCTTGTGGCCCCCTGATGACGCCGGCCCGGCCCGGCCCGAGTTTCTCCACAAGCGTCGGGGGGGCGCCACCTCCGCCGACAGCCCCACGTCGGCCCCCTGTCGCGGGCAGCCACCGCGCGCTGAGGGCGCTCCGAGCCCGCCTCGTCGCGGCGCGACGACGAGGCGAGGCTGACCCCCGGCGGAGGGGACCCTCCCCCACGCTTACTACGAAACCCAGAGTGGTCTGCCAGCTTCCCATGCCTACCAGAGCTCCTCGACGGGGGTGGCCCTCAGAAGACCTGCAGAAGCCCTGCCAGACAGTCTATGCCTCCTAGATGGGTTTGGAGTGGATGGGGCCGGAGGATCGCGCCGCATCGCCGATGCATCATCCGTGCGGCTCGATGTGAGGCCCGAGTTGCTTCACGTCGACGTTGCCGATGCATCGCCCACGTCGACGATGTATCGCTGGTGCATCGCCGATGCATCGCCGATGCATCGCGGATGCATCGCGGATGCATCGGCGACGCGGCGCGATCCTCCGACCCCATCTGCTCCGATCCCATCTAGGAGGCCTCTGGACAGGCACTTGGCGCAGCGTGCAGGTGCGTTGGAGTGCTCGGCGGCGGCCGTTCTCCCGGCGCTCCTTCCCCATAGTGGTGCTGCTGCGGCCACTCCTCCGGAGTGGCGCCCTCCTCCGCGTTCTGTGCTCGTGCTCCCCTCCCTCCGCTCACGCTCCCTCCCTTCCTCCCTCCCGCTTTGTCGGAAACTGGAACGTATACATTACCAGTGGCGGGTTGTTTTCTCAATCCCGCGACTTTTGAAAGAGCGTGTTCTACCTCTGCTGGCGGAAAACCGCGGGGTGGTCACTACCGGTTCGAACCCCTCCCCCCCCCCAGTCCATTATGAATAGGGGGGGGGGGTCACTACCGGTTCGAACCCCCCTCCCCCCCCCTCTCCCCCTCCGAAAACCGGGGGGGGTCACTACCGGTTCGAACCCCCCCCCCTTCGAAAACCGAGAGGGGAGGTGCGGACAGTGGTGGGGACGGTGGTGGTGGGGACAGTGGTGAGGGGACAGCGGGACAGTGGTGGGGACAGTGGGACAGTGGTGGAGACGGTAGTGGTGGGGGACAGCGGTGAAGACAATGGTGGGAACAGTGGGGACAGTGGGACAGTAGTGGGGACGGTGGTGGTGGGGACCGTGGTGTGGGGACAGAGGGAATGTGGTGGAAACAGTGGGACAGTGGAGGGTACTGTGGTGGTGGGGACAGTGGTGAAGGCGGTGGCGAGGACGGCGGTGGGACAATGGGACAGAGGTACAGTGGGGACAGTGGTGGGGACAGTGGGGACAGTGGTGGGAACAGTGGGACAGCTCAGTGGGACAGCGGAGGAGTCAGTGGGACAGTGGGGACAGTGGGGATAGTCGGGCAGTGGTTGGGGCCGTGGAGAAAGTGGGGAGAGTGGAACCGTGGTGGGAACAGTGGTGGAGACAGTGGGGACAGTGCGACAGTGGTGGGGGCACTGGTGGGGACAGTAGGGAAGGTGGTGGAACCAGTGGGGACAGTGGTGGTGAGGACAGTGGTGCTGGGAACAACAGTGGGGGATGTGGTGCGGACGGTGGTAGGGCCCAGGAGTCGTTTGCTGGCGGTGAGGGGGGTGTGGGGACGGGTTCGAACCGGTAGTGACCCCCCCTCCGGTTTTCGAGGGGGGGGGTTCGAACCGGTAGTGACCCCCCTCCAGTTTTCGAGGGGGGGGGGGGGGGGGAGGGGTTAGGGGAGGGGGGGGGGGTCGCCAGGGGGAGGGAGGGGGGGGGGGCGGGGGGGGTCCAGCAGGGGGGGGATTTTCGGAGGGGGGGGGGACACCCGGGTTCTGGAGGAAGAAGGGTGGCAATTTTTCACAGTAAGTCGCGGCGGATCACGCTCTCTCCGACTTTTTGAGGGTCGGGCGGGTTGGTGTGGTGTATACTTTTTCCACCGTTGTCCAAGGGAAACAACGACAACTGTGTACACCAGGATCCCGTATACCAAAATCCGCGTTCCTGTGCGAATTTCTGCGCAGGGTCGGGAAAGCGTCGGTGTATAGGGTTCGTTTCCCTACTTTGGGCCTCCGGTGCGGCTTTTCGTTGTTTTCTGGGTCAGGCCCGCTGGAGATCCCGACCCGTTCCCCGGGTGCAGCCGCTTACCTCGGCCTTTCTTTTGGGCTGACTCCCCCCCCTCCCCTTCATCCCACCATCCCCGCCCCTCCTCCACCTCCCCCCCTCCTCCTTTATAGTGGAGAGCAGCAGGGTGCCTCCGCCCTGGCTGCTTGGCCTGGCCGGCGCGGAGCGCGGGCGAAGCGAGGGGGCGGGCGCGGTTACGGTCGGACCAAGGCACAAGTTCGAGGACGGTTCGGGGAGGGTGCATTGAGGTTCTTCGTGCTTCTGGGATGTTCTTGTGCATCCTGGCGGAGGGCAAGATCGAAGTTTGGCCGGCGGAGGGTCACTTGTTCTTGGAGGATGCTCTTCTGTCTGTGGTCCGGCTGTACGCCCCCGGGCCCAGAGGGGCCCAGGCGCGAGGCGAACGGGACGCCACAGGGTCGGCTGCTGGCAGCCGCGTCCACAGCCACCACCGCTGGGGGGAGGGGCCCCGCGGACGTCGGAGGCCTGGGCCCCGGCAGCCCCCTTCCCCGCTGCCGCTGCCCCAACCTTGGCGGCGCGCGGGGGGGGGGGGGGGCGCAGGAAGCAGGAGGGGAAAAACAAACACACAGACACAATGCATCGTCGATTCCCCAGAAAATCTGGGAAAATATGGGAATTGGGGGGAAGACAAAAACCCAGAACATATGGCAAAATATCGGGAATCCGGTCATTTGTGTGCATTTGCTTGTGTGTCCCAGGGTCCCTTCAAGGAGGGATGGGGGAGGGAGGAGGGGCAAGAGGAGGCAGGGGCAGGCAGGAGGAGAGAGGAGGCAGGAGGGCGGGAGGACGCCAAAGGGGAGACAGGAGGGAGGAGCAATGGGGAGGGGAGGCGGGCGGGTCAGAGCAGGAGGGGAGGGGCAAGGGAGAGAGGGCGGAGGTGGAGCTGGGTGGGCGGCGCGCCCAGGGGGGGAGGGGGGGAGGGGGGAAGGCGTCTTCGAAGGGGGGAAGGCCTCTTCGAAGGAGGGAAGGGGGGGAAGGCTTTCTCGAAGGGGGGGCGGAGGGGCAGGGGGGAAGGCTTCTTCGAAGGAGGCTGCTTCTTAGAAGCCGCGGGCCTTGCGTCTACAGACCAGGCCCGCGCCCTCCGAGAAGTCGCCCCGAGGCCAGGGCGGCGACGCGGCGGCGGCAGCCGAGTAGCGCCGGCAGCCCGAGGGCACCGACGAGCAAGAATCGGAGAAAAACACATGTTGAGTCGGACATCTCCCTCTGCACGAGGAGTATTCAAATAGTGGCAGGATAGCCAGGGGACGATTTCCGATTATTTATTTTTTTCTGAGTGTTCTTGATGCTTCGTCCAAGCTCCGCCCGTGGAAGGACATGCCCGACCTGAAGCAAATGGCCTGAGCCCTGCAGAGCTCCGCGCCAGGTTCTTGGATCGGCCATGGGGGCCCCCCCTGGGCCCCAGCGGCCCCCTCCCTGCTGCCGCT